AGCGCAAACTTCCCAACGAAATGAGTTTCTCATTGTTCCACAATACTTTTTTCGCCTGTACGGAAAAGCCACTCCTACTTCGAACTTCAGTCAATGAGCGAATCGAGAGCTCATTGGCGCGCGCATTCTAAACGACGCGCGGTACTAAAAATCATAGCTGCATGGCGCGCGTCTTGCTTTTCCAGAGTTTCACATCAACAAATGCAACATTTTCTTTCAGCGATCGTCATCCGCAGATGCGACGAAATTTAATAACTTATTCAACAGGTGTAGTTGAAGATAACTGAAAAGAACTTTTTTGAACCGCAGACGATATTTTTAGAATTTATTTTTATGATATGTATTTATGGACTGGATTTTTATTTACGAGATAATTACGGACATTTAGTAGCTGATATTTAGTGGAAATAAAACAAACCTAATTATTCTGTTATCCATGAAGTGAAGAAAGAAATTAAGAAATACGAAGTAAAGTTGGAAGGAATTTTGATAATTATAAAAAAATGATTAAATAGTATGTGTTTGATTTTTGTTTTAGAATCAGATCACTAGATAAAGTTGTAATATCATCAACCAGAAAACAACTACTGTTTTAGAGTGACATTTTCTTCCTCCTTTACTTTTAATTTGAAGCGAAATATTAAAAAAATGGAAAATACATCAACAAAATGGCCAACAACTGTTTCAGTGCGCATAGCAAAGAGGCCGTCACTTGGTCTTGGTATTGTTGTGACCCCGCGTCCTCAACATCTTGGTCTGGTCATTGCCGAACTCATCAGAGGGAGTGAGGCTATAAAGACCGGGCTCTTAAGACCTGGTGACCAGATTCTTAAGGTAAATAATAAAGATTTGGAGCACTTACCATACGAGCAATGTCTTCATGTTCTTCAGGAGTTGCCAGTGGATGAGGAAGTTGAGATTCTGATTCGCGTACCAGATGGGTACACGACGAGATTGGTGACAACATTCAACGAGGAAGGGGTGTCCCGCACCACCAGAATTACCAGCCTGATACCATCGTCTGAATCACCTTCGCATCGTAGACGAAGGGAATCTATTCCAGATGAAAAAATTCGTAGTTTAAAAGCAAGTTTGCACCAGAACGATGTCGTAGGTGTCGCCAATGATAATAAACTGAACAACGGCGTATCGTTTAAATCTAGTACAACTCTAGTACCTATAATGAAAGAAAATGGTCTCTCGTCTCATGTGCAAATGTCACCAGAGAGACCAGCGACACTGTCTGCCAAGTAAGTACCAAAATCATAATCCTAATTAAAGTGAAATTAAAGAGATAAGTTTCTTTTTTTTCTCCAATGAACATTATGAAAGTAAAATTTACTATGCTAACCTAATTGTTAAAAACAGATAGATTTCATTGATTACTTGAAATCCATACATAAAATACTTGGAGTAATACAATAATAAGCCACGTTGTCGAACAAAAAAAAAATTTGTTAAGAACATTTTTGTGAATAATATCATAATTTCAATAAAGGCAATGACATGCTTCAGTGTATAGTGCTATTATCTAAAGGAAAGTCTGGAAACACGCAGAGTACCTATCTAGAAACAATACTTGTTAATAGTTTGGTGTAAAAACGTCAATTTTGGGGGAAAAAATTAATTTTCAAGCTTTAGTATCCACAGCCATTATTTTACTGCTCTAAACATCTCTAATGTGAAACAGAAAATATCTATATGGTATTACGAGTTAATTATTAAAATGTATGCTCTTAAATTATAAAGAAATATTCTTTTAGTATGACGAAAAATACATATATTTCAACTAGTGTAACATATTACTAGTTTTCTGATTATATTTTGTATTAATAATTTTTATTACCAATTTTATAAGTATTAATAGTAAAAAAAATGTATTTTTTGTTTGAACAAATATAAATTTTATAAAAATGTTTAAACATTAAACGTTAATCTTTAGACAAAGAAAAAGAAGCAAACTTAAACATTAAAAGATGTCATTGAATAAATCACTCACTAATATGTAAATAGTAAATTAATAAGATAAAAGGTTTTCAAAAATAAGGCTATAATTATAAGTACAATTATAAATAATACTGGAAATTTTTTTTTGTTGTTACATTAATCCAAGTATTTAATTTTATCTAATTCGTGTGTGAGGATTTTAAATGTGGAAATTAGAATTGTTCCGGAATCAACTCATTTAAAAATGATATTTATATTTCAGTTTATATTTCTCTGAATTTACAGCTTATGAAGAACGTATTAGTTTATATGCATGTACCTGTGTGTTACCTTAAAAGCAATATTAAAGACAAAAAAAAAACCTGTGATCTAGTATCCTTCTTAGCCATTATCGCCCCCCCCCTTTCCGACTACTCCTTACGTAGTAGAGAAGTAGGGGCACTCAATATTCACAGGAGTGAATTTAAAAAAAAACCCGGTGCAGAAAATATTACTGACTTGCAAAAATACTAATTGCAGATTTGAACTCGCCTGCAACAAAGGGAAAAAAAAATATTCTTCAGTGAAATTATAACATTTATTGTTTGAAACGACCTTAAAATTTTTATAAGTGTTTAAATTATATCAATTTTTCAAACTAAAAAAAGTTTTCATTAATTTCCTAAAAATATTTCTACTCGTTGAGCTATATTATTATTTAGATTTTTTTTTATTATTAAAATTATTTTTATTATTACAATTATTTTTTCAAAACTTAGTTCGTATTTTGTTTCTCTTTAATTAAATTAATACAGAATTTCGTATTCATTAACTTAACTTTTTCTTTTAAGTTAAGTGAATTAAATTTTGTTTTTATTCTAAGTTAATTTGATTCCCTCCGTAAGAAAGAATATGAAGAATTTCAATTCGATTTGGAACTTAACTTAGATTGTATTTCAATTCTACATTATTTCGGTTTAATGTGCTGATTCGAAACACCTCTTTATTATTTTTTTCGTAGTTACTTGTTTTAAATTGTGAGGCATTTTTAATGCATTATATCTAAGGGACTTGAAAGTATATTTGTGTAAAAACTAGAGCATTCTATTTTCTTTTTATTGTTTAGTAATCTACATGTGTTTACAATCAGTGTAGTAGTAGTGCATAGACTAGTCACCGATTAGTAAACTAGTGACTAGACAGTGCAACATCTAAACATTTGCGGTTGAGAGAAAGATTGTTTAAATAGAGTTGGTAAAGAAGTGTTTCCATTATTTTGATCAATCCATGTAATTTCCAATTTCAACTTTGTTATATGACGTTGCGTTACTCAAAAACCAACTTTAAATATTAAGCTTAATTAACAAGATTAAAATCAATTTTGAAGCACAAATTAAAATTAATATGGGAGAACATAAATAAAAATTTAACGAAATTTCAAAAATAAGCATTTCAGCAAAAACGGTACTGCAGTACAAAACCAAAATTATCTTTAGTACACGATTTAAATAAATATGGGAGAACTTAAATAAAAATTTAACGAAATTTCAAAAATAAGCATGTCATCGAAAACGGTACTGCAGTACAAAACCAAAATTATCTTTAGTACACGATTTAAATTAATGTGGGAAAACTTAAATAAAAATTTAACGAAATTTCAAAAATAAGCATGTCATCGAAAACGGTACTGCAGCACAAAACCAAAATTATCTTTAGTACACGATTTAAATTAATGTGGGAAAACTTAAATAAAAATTTAACGAAATTTCAAAAATAAGCATGTCATCGAAAACGGTACTGCAGCATAAAACCAAAATTATCTTTAGTACACGATTTAAATTAATATGGGAAAACTTAAAAAAAAATTTAACGAAATTTCAAAAATAAACATGTAATCAAAAACAGTACTGTAGTACAAAACCAAAATTATCCTTAGTACACAATCTATCTATATTATATAAAAAGCTAATACGTACGTATGTATCAATAAAACCGATGATATTTCTCTTCTCGCGCTGGCAACAGTTTTCATTTTTAATTGATTGGATTCGGCGCGCAAGAGCACGTAGTGAGCAACCAGATAACAATAACCAGAGTGAGCATTATCAGGTTGTTCAATTCAGATTCATGCACTAAAAACATGACAATATTTAATTTAAACTCAATTAGGAATTAATTAATTAATTGAAGTGAGAATGCTTTAAAAGGCCGCTGTTGAATTGATATTTTTCTACTGGGAGCTACCTAAACGTCTAAAAAACGTTTAAGTGTTTGTATTGAATGCAT